GACTGTAGCAACCTGAAAACAATTACTGTAACAATCAAATTTATACATTTTGTATGACCATATATTTAAATTCTAAAGCTCACGTTAACAATCACCAGTGTAGATATTACAGTTTTCATGGTATCCATATAAATGTTCACCATGTCACCAGCATTTAATGTAAGAATACACATTTCCTTGATTCCAGAATTGTGTCCAAATCTTCTATTCATTTACAGGTTTATAAGAAATCGAAATATTCATATATGTAAACTCCAAGTAGATTGATGTTTGGAATACACAGTATCAAGTTTCAGTTATCATATAGATACCTCTACAGGTATATGCTTGTCCAGTATTTGATAATACATATTTGTATTCATTTTCCTGCTGTGTTCCAAAAGTAATGACGTGATTCAATATTGCAGAAAAATGGTAAAAGCGACATCGATCAATTTTGGTCAATTATACCTGTTAACAAATTTGAAAACAAAATGTTAAGGTGCATATATGGTAGTATATTGATTGATTAATTGATTGATTTGGTGTTTAACGCCACTTTCAGCACTATTGTGCTATTTCATGATTGCCAGATTTTATTGGTGGAGGAAGCCAGAGAACCTGGAGAGAAACATCTACCATCTTACCATCGGTAGAAACCTGACAACCCTAGTCAATTTAGATTGGATTCGAGTGTACATGCCACGTACGGGATTAGAACTCACAACCTCAGTGTTTGACAGGCTAATGATACAGTATTTCGACTACTTAGACCACTTGGCCGTGAAGACCTATGTTTAATGGTATAAAATTCAAAGTCAAATGAAGAAAGAAGAATTGAATATTATGGGATTTGAGTGATTTTATAATAAAACGAATAATAAAAGAGCTCCAAATTTCCATAATTTCACTGAAAAGAAAAGCATCTGTAATATTTTTTTCCCAGTTTAGTAAAGAATACATAATATCGACATATTATTTCATTCGGCTACAGAGATGTTTTGCACACACACTTCTTGCTCAAATCTGATCGTTGACGTTGTTAAGTTTGTGTCGATCGAGGATAATCCTATTTTGATAGTTGAACCGTGGCATGGTAAACGGTGTAACAACGGGGGTGTTCACAAAGCAATATGGTGTCAATAAGAAAGGGAAAACTACGAGAATACGGATATACCTCCTCTCGATCTATGTCGTCAATCGATCTGTAAGTATTCGAGTCTTTTTTTGTCACAAAAGAAGTCAGATTTTAGATACCTTATTGTCTTGTAAGTATATAGTATAAGAGAGTATCAACCATTATATGTTATGATGTCTACATCAAGTATTTTCGGTACTTCAAATGTTGAGCAAACAAGAAGAAAATGTAAAGGCACAGATTAATGTTTTGTTTTGTGTAATGTATATCTTTAAATATGATTTACCCAGATCTTTCAAACCCGATACATACCTGTTTAAATTACTTGTCCCTATCAAGTGGACACGATAGAATTGTGTTGCTGCCGAAGCGCTTTTTTATCAGTTGTTATCACGAACGCTCATACCTAAAAGGAGAAAGCGTAATATTATAAATACAATAATTTGAATGGGTTAAACAGGTTGGACATAATGAAACAAGCAGGTTTCAAAACTACATGATGTTTCCCATAAATTCACAGCATACAAATTTTACTTGTTTAGAAATACCAGGGGAAAAAGGATAGTTTTCATGAAACATATTGCATCTTCACGAGAGCACTAAAGAGGACAGGACTGATGAATAAATAAGCAGATCTCTTAGCTTACAGAATAATATTTGTTGATGCATTTATATGAGTTAGTTATTAACCTACGTTTCACTTCATTTTACTACGTTCCAACAACTATCTTTGATGTCAACCAAAATTTTGTGCATAAAGCTATCCACCAAATTTGGCCAAATCTTCATCGTTTTTAAAACAATTTTTCCACTGCCTTCTGCTGAAGAATGCAAGAGTTAAAAAGAATATAGACAGGATCTATTGATTGCACCTCGTATCGAAAATACAAAAAATAGGCTATGTGCATAGTGAACATCCTTATATATATTGCATTTATACGCAGGTTATTATAGAACGTTGCAGAAATCTTAATGAAAATAATACATTTGAAATCTGGTTTTCAAGGTCACAACAATGACGTGATTACTTACATAGATTGATGCAGTCCATATCTCCAGAGCAGATATTGCTATCCCCTCGTGATTGTCACTTGCTTGTTGCCACACATATCTAGCTGAACACTACCTTGTTATACCATATACTTTTAGAAAGTTACGGCATGATGCGATTAATGATATAAACACAAACTTGTCAACGAAAAAATTTGAAAAAGAAAAGTTAATTTTAATCATGTTAATATAATCCTAGCTATGTACATTCGACAAAACATTCTTCATGATTCATGTGTATCATAGATAAAGTTAAAATGACATATTTAATTGTATATTACTTAATACGAGTATTCAGTAATAGTTAAATTAATAATGTTCACTATATTTATATGATATTTCATATGCAGAAATCGACGTAATATTATAAAAATAAGAAAATGTGGTCTGCTGTAGTAACATGAGATGGTAAAATGGTGTTTTCAGTTTCGGAAAAATATAAATGAATATACGGATTGAGTTCTTTAAAACGTAATAAATAACATGTTAACATGATAATTTGAACTCATTTAACAATCCCCGGTTTCGGTTTCGGTTTTAAGTGTTTGTCTCGGTTACGGCATTGACACCGGTTTCTGTTTAGGCTTTTGGTGAAGATGTCTATTATCATCAATAGGGAAAATCATTATTTTGAGAGAAATTACTTCGAATGCATGGAATTTCTGTTTTACAAATGACCACCGAGATGTTCCAAATATCATATTGACAACATAGTCCGTTTTTTTTCCTGATTGTGACATCACCTCATAATATGTATCATCGAAATTATAATTTCCATGATCACAGGTGGCTTTAAAATTTAGGAAAAAAACTGCTTGCATTAGAGGAAAATAAAGAACAAGTTCCTCCTTATTTGTGTTCGTAGACAAAACATGTGCGTCATAAAACCAGTCGAATATACTAAAGCTTAGGGGACGACCAGTTGATATTCTACGTGTGTGTGTGGAGGGCGGGAAGGGGGGTTGAGCAGGAGGAATTTTTTTGATTGGCTATTCTTTTTTATCTGTCGACGCATTCTTATATTATTTGTGCCGCGCAAATGTGATTTTTCAATTTTGAACATGATTGATCTCTGTATTTTGTGTTGATGAAGATTCCTTTTCATCCTGTCTCTTGCAAGATTAAAATCAAACATTCGTCAGTCTAAAATTCAACAATATTTATCTAAGCGAATTCTGAAAGAAATAATATAACTTTTATTCTGTAAATCACCATTCCATCCGTTAAAGCTAGTGCAAATATTGATATGGTTCCCGCATTTTATCATCTTTAAATTATTTATTTGTTTCGCCGTATAAGTGTTCGACCTAAAATCATAAATAAATTAAAAAAAAAGTATAGACAATTGAACTCAGGTGACTTTAATGTCCACGAATCAGATATACAATTTAAAAGCAATTACAATATCTTGCATTATGGACTTTACATTTAGATTTTATAATTTCTAACGAATGAAATTTTTCTTTTTTTTTTGTTTTTTTTTTTAGATTTTTGGAATATTTAAATAATATGAAACTTACTTCCTTTTGTTAATATATCTTATTTTTAAACAAAAAATTACATGAAGGAAAAATCTTCAAAAACCTACGTTTGCTGTATTGCATTTAGACAACATGTAATCTGTAAGCAAAAATACTGTAGCAAAAAAATTAAATACATCAATGTTTTGGCAAGGTCTGTAAACATCCTTTGGTTAATAAAAGTGTATGCCATTGTTTATGAAAATACAGTTAATGCATACAAAATAATACGTTATATCTTTTTGGATAATTAAACATTATTCACCATATTTGGTTAAAATTGTTTCCGGTAATTATTCCTGGAAGTGTATATTCGATAGAATTTGTTCACCAGATTTCTTTCGTACAAACTATATTAACAACGAAGTGGCTTGAATTCAAGTTATCCGTATAAAATAACCGACATTTTAAGAACTGAACTATTGTTGAAAAAAACAAATTAAATCAATTCGGATATATGACATTTTCTAGTTCATTGGTACAGCCCTTGGATGGTGTAAACTTCCAAAAAAAACGTGTATGGTGTAATGGTGTATGGCATATGGTGCAATGGTAAAAAGTGTTTGGTGCTATGGTGTATGGTGTAAGGGGAATGGTGTAATGGTGTAACGTGGGATAGGGAATGGTGTGAATGAATGGTGTACGAATTTTAAAACTATGCAAAATATTGATAAGAACTGATTTTTAATTTTATACATTAATTTACAATATTGTGATCAAAATTCGCTTTTTAAAATAAATTAAATAATTTAGTAGTCGCACGCTTTCTTTGAAATTAAATTGTATTATGGTGTAATGTGTACGGTGTATGGTGCAAAGGTGTAACGTGAATGGTGTAATGGCACAGGGTGTATGTTGTAATGGTGTATGGTGAATGATGTAATGGTGTATGGTGTTAGTGGGAAGTTTACACAATCCAAGGACTGTCTCTCAAAAACTTTTGGTCTTAATTTGTTATAGAGTAATTAAGTCTAGTTCATATATCCGTAAAATAAGAATATTCTTTAAAATTGTTTTCCAATCCTACAGTATATGTAAACAGCTTATTTACATAAACATATATATTTATATATATTACATGCAATTAGCTTTGAAGCTTGGCAAGCAACGCACGAATACAAGTTCACAATGTACAAAATTAACGTGCAATCATTAACATTAATAAGTTCATTATTATAAGTGAATTAACGATTTCAATATTCATTGAAAACAAAACACACCTCGTGTTTAATAAAATTACTTTAATTATGAGTATATTATTTGTAATGAGGATAACAGTTCTTTATCAATTCATTATATCACTGTTACGAGATCATTATAAAGATAGGAATTATATGGAATATAGTTTTGATTATTGATTTTTACTGAAAAAAAAACCAAACTTTTCAAACAATTTAGTTGACATGTGATTAACTTAAATAACAGTAATGACTGCGTATTATCAAAATAATAGCTATAATTTGTCAAAACCAATGGATTCCCATGTCTATAGAAACCTTCACTAATTACACTTAGCCTGGTTTTAAATGTTTCTTAATACTATTGTTTAATGGAATTTACGTAATATGTACATTATTTTTTGTAAACATTCCTTCCACAAATTGGTATTAATTACCAGGACAACATGTATTGCTACACAACCGACTTTCCTTTGACACATTACAATAGGATTCTTCCCAAATTGATGATTGAATGTGACAATCTCTTAATCTTTGTTGAATACCACCACCACAACTAACTGGACAGGTGCTCCATTCAGACCAGGTACCTTGAATTATGAAATGTGAGAAAGCCATTTCAGAGCCCAAAACTAATACAAAATGACATTTCTATGTTTATCTGAGTTATATTATTGAAAGAAAAATGTGTGCAACTTATAACCCGTATTTGTAGATTTTGAAATTCAACATTGTGAATATATATATATATATATATATATGCAGTACTACTTAATCATAACTAAACATTGACCGTTATGGAATATCTGTTTCACAGATGAAGACGGATATGTTTCAATTGTCGTTACCACAATCCCGTCCTCGTTTTCGCGAAAGTGATCTACCGAATAAGACTTACTACCGGGTTAGTACTTACATGAGCAACACAACGGATGCCACATGTGGAGCAGGATCCCCTTCCTTAACACCTGAGGGTGAGATGGTGTGGTTTGCGTTGATCATTATTTAGTTTTCTATGTTGTGTTTTGTGTACAGTTATTTGTATGTTTGTCTGTCTGTTTGTTTTTTTTCTTTTTTTGCCATGTCGTTGTCAGTTTATTTTCGACTTCTGAGTTTAAATGTCCCTTTGTTATCTTTCGCTTCTCTTTTTAACACATATGTTACATTGTCTGGGGTGAATAAACTTTATTTTATTCCGTATTCCCCATAGTTTTTGCAATGCTCAGTCTTTAATGATCCTCATTGTGTTTTTCTAAACTGTTGTTTGTGTTCTCGTCGATTTCTTTTCCTTCGACATATGAGTTTTGATTGACTCTTTCTTATCTTCCGCCGATTTTTGTGGCTACAATTCCAATTGCATGAATGTCATAATCATTGTATTTCCATAGAAGTTTGCATCATGTTGAACCATTTAGGTGTATTTGTTATTGCATGTAAAAATAGTTCATATAAGAATACAAGATTTGCAACTGAGTATAAAATAATAGCTATATTCTATTAAAAATCAAATTGTCAGTCGGAAAAACGATTACATTTCACACATAGAAAGACATCATAATTTATCAATTATAAACAATTTTATAACAATTTGAGTGAAGCTGCTACCTTGCTCACAACTCAAACAGAAGGACAAAAACGTAGTTAAATCTACTGCCGGTGAGGATTATTTTCTTATAGCCATATTGGCACTGTTAGTTGTAGCTCTTACCGGGGTACAAGAAATGGTTTAAACTTATTCATTGATAGTGTTACTTTAATGATAGATAGGCTAAACTGGTAATTGATAATCTTTTGATACTTTTTATATTACCTTATATAACAGAAAACACAATTTGTGGGATTATACCTTAGAAAAAAGTATAACATTTGAAGTCTTTGTGTTCTCGTTTTTATGTTAAAACGTTATGCATACATACACGTATACGTGTAACACAATCAACACATACTTGGACAACACATGTTATTGCAGGAACGACTTTCGAGCGGCAATCCAGAGCAGTAACTTCCACCCAAATATGGTGGTGGGCTGTCACAGTATCGTTGTCGCTTTTGTATTCCTCTACCACAACTTGTCGAGCATACCGACCAATCCAACCAATCACCCCAGAAACCCACTGCAATTGAAAAAATAACATAACTCTATCTATATTATGTTTTAACATTATACTATGATTAAAGCATTTTGCAAGTATTTTCAGTATGTAATTTTCATATATTTTGGAATTCATGTAGGCTTAACTTTTATTTGAAAGCAAAAGACATGTTATCCAACATAAGCTACGATATTTCATCAATGATGTTAATAAATATATGTCCAGTCCTAATGTAAATCATTTTTATATATGTTATAATACGATCGTTTGTGTTGGTTTGTTTTTGGTTTTGAAGGAATTTATTTGCTCAACACCTTTCAGATAACAGATATAAAAATGGGTATACAAAAACAAAGAGTGTGAATCAAATACTTGGAATAAACATAGTGTATTGTAAACGGAAATGTGTGCAATACATCCACGAGACCGTTACGCATCTACACATGCACATATACAAAAGGCACACAACATGTACAGGATTGCTGGACTATGTGATACTACATATACATATGTCGTGTACATGTTATTATTTTGTACACGTTATTACTTGTACACATATTTTGTACTAGTAATTACTTGTATGATGCCATCATACAAGTTATTACTTGTACAAATACAATTGAACAAAGTAATTACTTGTACAATTTTTGTCGAGAAAAAGATAATAACTTGTACAAATCCTTGTTCTACCTTGGCCTATTTGATGTTCACAACAAATCAGTACATTGACCTGGTAGATCTTACATTGCCCAAAATTCTACATACACAGTTAACTGAAGTACTTTCATTATTATATTCAGAAATCAATTTGAATATGTATGATAACGGTTTACTTTTTTTTTGCTATTTTTAGAAACCTAAGGCCGCTAGTTATTTTAGGTCTTTTATCATGCAGTGAATACAAAATTTCAACAAATTCTCAAAAATTAATTTTCACCCGTATGCAAAATTATTTCATATTTATCTACACCTGATTCATCCCTCAGTTTGGGAACGTCTGTTCAGTGGATATTGTATTGTTTGTCCAATCACACTGTTCAGATACATTGACTTAAGTACACAAAAGAGCAACCTAAATTCCTGAATGTAAATACTACCGTGCCTACCTTAATGACACTTTCTTTACCTGATTTTATTAATGTTTATCTGGATAATAGTTTTAGGTTTAATTTTATGTCCGTAATATTTTCCTTTTATTGTAGCATATATCTTTTTTGTCGGCTTTTGTTCAATTCTTTTATTTCGTTCAATCAGAGTAAAGATTTGTGACATCATGCATGCCGTTACCATAGTGAAGCGTCCTTTATAAATGGGTCACTAACCGAAATTATACTAACTGCGTCAGAAAAAAAGAAAGAAAACAAACACAATATAAATTTCAAAAATACATACGCTGAATAATGTCTCCTAAGCAAAAATAAGCAAATAAATAAAAAAGAAAAAAACGTAAAAGAACAAAAAAGACCAACAAATGACAAAACCAAAATAACAAACCAAAAGAAAGGAGTTTTTGAATAAAACAGAAGGAAGAATCAAATATAACTCAAAGATAAAGAGTTGGACAAGTTATTATCTTTTTCTGAACAAAAATTGTACAAGTAATTACTTGTACAATTATATCTGTACAAGTAATAACTTTTATGATGGCATTGTACAAGTAATTACTAGTACAAAGTTTTATGTACAAGTATTAACTTGTACAAAATGATAACATGTACACGACATATATACCAAATAGTGCCTTATGTCCTATATATGATATATTTCTACTTCGTAATTCCCTTAGTATTTCTAAAGTTTAGGAACATGACATATCCAAATAAAATTAACAGGTCGAATAGTTTTTACATCATATGTTTATTTAGACAATTTGTTTATTTTCCTTAAGTGATGTTCGAGGCCAACATATAGACATGTCACACTGTTTGTATTTTTTTTTTTCAATAACTGACTATGTTTACATTTTAGCGTTTTATCTATCAAGATTGCAGTATTGCTAGACAACCGATCAATTCAGATTAAGGAGTATTTATATCTTCTTTATCTACCTGTATGGAGTTATTTTCTTTCAGAACAATATGTCATTCTTTCGAAGAATCAACCCGGACGTTACCAAGTTTCAATGAAATATGCTTCAAGGCATAAAATAGTTACCTGTGTAAGGTCATTATTCCCTGATTAAAATGCAAACTATAATTTACTTAAACATCTAATTCGTTTGATAGCTATCGTGTGTTGTTGTCAATTGGGGGTTTACCTGTTTATAATCCATCTTTGATAGATTTAAGGCGGAAACAAATCTTTCCTCCGATCATTAGACTTAAATACTAAAAATAGTCTTTGACGCACATTTTAACTTTCGGAACAAATAATGTGAAGTTTTGTTAATTTATCGCTACAATAAAGGTACATTATGTGATATAAATCTAATAATGCAAAACTTTTCGTAACACTTTTAAAACAAGCAAAATTTAACACATCCTTGTGTAGGATTTTGAAAATCTTATTGATTCACACTGTATTGGAAATCATACTCTGACCTACATGTATGGATATTCGTTTTTCGTGTTACATGATTGTACATGTATCACGATTTCGTGCTCTCTTCGTGCCAGTTCTTAACTTTACATATATATCATATATCAAATGATCAAACGAACAAATATTTTTATTTTCTATAGAATAACAGTCACGTACTTTATAATGGGGTTGGGGGAGTATAAAATTTAAGTCTGATTCAACAAATTGTATTGCCATTCAAAAGAAAAATATTCTGAATAGTTCAATTCGTTAAAATATGTTGAAAATAAATCTGCTTTTCCGGTATACATATGTCATGAAAAAAACACCAGAAAAATACCATTCCCCTTTAATCAAATAAGTTGGTACAAATAATTACCTACAAAGTGGCTTGTATTTTGCATGTACCGTTATCGGGCTGTAACTTTCTTTATGCAGTTACTGATATAATTATATTGTGCCTGAATAAAGATTTCTAAATTTTATATCTAGATTAATTTGTTAGTTATATTTCACATTATAAATGAGCCGTATGACGTATTGAAACCACAACGCACCAGACAAGAATATCCCACTTTGGTCGGTAAAATATGATGCGATTCCTACAAATATTAGCAGATATTAATAATATTTTGACGGTATATAAGTAAGAATTGCATTACATAACTTCTCTAATGAATGCAAATAATTCGCTTCAGCTTAACAGAATACGTATGACAAATTAGGAATTGCCTTTATAACCGGACTTTTGTTTTGATTGGGCTGTAATTAAGTATACATCGTGCTTTTTTTACTCTTTAATGACCAAGTTATGTACATAATGGCAAAGAACTTGAGAGAAAAATTCAAACGTGGTTATCAAGGATTTAACTATAATATATGAAAACATTCCATACACTACAAGGAAAATGTGTTTTTAAAGAAACGGACATTATAAAATGTCAAACATATAAATGTTCCTTATTTTGAACAGGAATTTATTGAATTAATCATAATTGTCACAGCAAACTGGTGACACATTATTCCAACAAATCATTAATGATAATATAACAAATGTCCTATCAAAATATATCCGTATATGTCGAGCTGTCTTAGTAATGTTTACACCAAAATTTGAACAGAGTGACTAAAGATGTCTTGCATTTGTCTGAATGCAATCAGGACGTACAGTCGAGGCAAATAGGAAATACCATAATATTATGAAATTTCATAATTTTATTGATATATTGGATCAAAGTGGAGTTGTCTTTCTTAGACGCCTAGTGTCAAAATGGACATGGGAGATAACAACTTTTGTCTTAAACGACGTCGAAAGGACGACAACTCATTATTATAAAAAGTTAACATTTAAAATATAAATTTGTATAACAATTTAGGAATTTATTAAATTGTGTTCGAACTATGGGTTTTATTATACACAAGGAGTAACTCTAGATAAATCAAACTTGACTAAAGATTATTTAAAATCTGGTGTAATGCACTAGAAAGAATCATTATATTTATTACTATTTTATCAGTCTCCGACATAGCAAATCATGCATGTGGAGGTCAATTGCGAATTTATTTACAGTTTATTTATTATGTAAACAAATTAAAGACCGTAAAATCCTGCGAAATCACAGAAAAATATTTCTAAAAAAAACACTGTAAAATATGTTTGAAAATCTAACAACGGGAGATAAACAAACAATCGAATTCCTTACAAAAACTGATAACTATGACAATAATTATTACGTTCTGTCAATAGCCTGTGTACAAATAAGCATAGACAGTTATGCGATTGATGCGGATCTGACATTACAACATTAACAATCTACAAAGCTGAAAAGTAATTCTTTGCATCATAGCAAATTATTAATGTCCAAATGATGGACATTGGCTATCTGATAAAGAAAATAAATTCACTAAAAGCTTAAAAACAAACAGCAAAATGTCCATAATATGTTATATATACGTAGAATTCTGAGTTGAGGTGAATTAATTGTAACAAAGAATATTTATACCTTTAATCTTTTTTAATTGCACATGCTCATGGAGATAAAACACATTTGGCAAATAACCTATTGTTATTTGGACTGAAACTACTCAGCATAAATTGATCGATGACAATTTGTTCACCATGGTTCCAGTTGAATGTCAAACTATTTGTACATTTAAATGCGTATTATGTGCATATTTCTACGTACATTTGTCAGATATTTCTATATGAAAGAAGTGATTGTATACAAATGCTTAAGTTAAAGCAAGATAAAACTGAAAAGTATTGATTCAAAACAGTTACATCAGTTAAAAACAGAGCAGAAGTAAGGTCATAAAGTCTCTTCACGGCAATCCCACCTCAGGATATCACGTATTGATGACTTCTGACCAGGCAAAATAAATTATCTTAGTCAAAGTGATATTTCAAGCTAATTAAAATTAAAAAAAAATCAGAACAAGATCTGAGATAATCAGTACTGTTATTGTAGTGGGGTGGGTGGCTAGGGAGTCGTTTTCTGTCG